TGTGAAATTTCTGCTCTTCAAATATTACAATTTTGCCCTTGTCGCGTTCCAAATCGGAGTAGTATATTTACTTTAACATTTTTTTACGCTTTTCGTTGTTACATAAAATTTCGTTTCGTTTCATATGTGTTACCTTATAGGTATTTCGTCGTCGTCATATTTTCCTTTTGTTATTTAAATTTCAATTTTTTAAGGGTGAAAATCATCTAATAACTTTTTTTGCCCTGTTTGGATGAGAGGGAGTAAAAAGTTTTTTATTGAATGAAAACCACCTCCTTTCTTCTCTTCCTTTAGGTTCACAGAAAAATTGAACAGTTCTCCAGTTCCTCACGCTTCACACCACGGTCACACCACCATCTTATTTTCTCAATGGTATCTGAAGGAAAGTTTGCTAAAGAAAATTCTATTTTTAGAAAAGCTATTTTTTTCTTTTTTTATGCATCATTATTAATGTTGAATGTACTATACAAATTGCATATTACAGTTACATATATCTTTGAAATAATTGAGGTCAACCTTGTTTTCGATCGCTACGGTTACGGTTGCAAAGGGTTACCACATCAAACTGTTATTGTAATGATCGGGTTAACCGCTTCATGAGGGTAAGGACCTTCGCAAGCGGTCTTATGGAGTCATGAATACTTCTTAGCATAACCCTCCTCCTTACCGCAGTTTAATGAAGGTTATCATACCTCATAGTTATGGGTGCCTTGGAATAACATTCTCAATTTATTAATAAAGCTATAATTATTTTTCTTTATGCAGACAGTCATTTGAGTATTGTTTTGGGATTATACAATTTGAATTGACTGCACAATTGACATGGTGGCTGAGCAACCGGTCGCAGGCAATGTGTCGCGTTTCGCACTGAATAAACCTTTAAGCGATCCACAAATTGTTGTTTCGGTTCTGTGTATATTATGTATGTGGAATTGTATATTTGTAAATGCACTCACATTAAAAATAGGAGGAAGTCCCAGTGTAGGGAAACGTTATATTTAAAAAAAGAATTTGGAATGACACAGCACTCTATGAAATGGTTGGACGTATACATAGTATGTATCCAACTATATGATTATAAGGTCCATATTTTTATGTTTAATTGACTTTTGATCGATGTAGGTATACTAAATGCTTAAGGTGTTGTTATGGATGTGTTCTACTGTGATGTCTCCAATACAAGTTCATTTTACGTACCTAAACCTAAAGGAAAAAATATTAATCTTATGATTTTATATTTCTTCATAGTAGCTAGTAAATTATATTTTACACCCACGAAACGAAGGAGGCGTTAGTAAACATTAATAGAGATTAAACAAAACATTGTTTTTTCTTCAACAAAACTATTGTGATTAGTGTACTGTCACATATTTTATCCTCAAGGTAGGGAAAAATTTGGATATTGGCACATAAAATATTACCATGTAAGTAGATCACAAAATTGCCGATTTTACCAGTACTGCGTCACATGTATCTAATTAATATAGGATGAACGTATCGTCATATACCAAGCCAATATGTACTAGGCTTAGTGTCACTACAACATTTTTCATAAAAACCGAAAGTACCCCATTAGTACATTGGCTTAGACGAGAATCGAACCCAAGACCGCCACGACCAGTATAGTATTATATTGCTTTGGTTTAAATTATTTTATAACGTGATACTTTGTTTCTTAATATTTGAAATTGCATAAAATTTTCTTTTCAATAAAGTACTTGGCTCAAGTTTACTCTTTTACTTTACCATTTTTGGCTATTCCTCTGCTTACCCACTAAGAAGAAATTAATGATACATTAATATAGCTAATACACTGACTAGTCAAACCTTTGTCTATTTACAAATTCAACTTCAATTTAGCGAAGAGTTAAAATCAACTGTTTTGTTTTAATTTAATTCTTCAATGAACTTGGAATTGCTTTTGATGTTTTTGACAATAAACAACTGGTAGGCTTGAGGGTACGATAAATTAATGCTAGACTTTATGATGTTAAGGTCCTAACGCTTGAGGCACAAAAAGTGCTTACATTTTTCTACCACTACATTAGTGGAAGCTTCGAAAAATATGTGTTAAAGATCACCACGTTTGTGGGCCAAGCGCAAAATTATACCGCGACCACGATTTGGAGCAGGATAAGGTACGGGTTAGTCAGTAAGAGTCTGACACCCTGGAAGAGGCAGGGCAGGAAAAGGCGTTTGGTAATCCCCTCCCCCCGAAAAAGAGTGTTAATCTTTGCGACGTATTTGGTGTTGCGGGTATAAATATATGGGCGACCTAAGCCGCTTACCATCAAATGATAAGAAGTTCCGTTTGCTCGTGAGCTTGTTATCTCATTACGCAACCAAACATATATTTCAATGCGGTCTTACTGGTAGCAGAAAATAAATGTTACATATTATAGTGGCGTTATATTTATTTTAAGAATAGTCTTCTTTACAATTTCTATTTGGCTGGTACTTGCTCTAGGCCATTGTTTATTATTTTTAAATAAAAGCTACATTTATACAAAATATCGTCCAGAATTGGATTCATGTGTGAGATTTAATTTATCTAGACTACAAAGTTATATTTAGACAAGACATAAATATGTATATTTCTAGAGAATCTAGATATAACTGAGATCTAGAAACACATTTAGGTATAATTTGATTAACAGACTGGAACTGAAGCATCTATAAACATGGTTGATGAATCTATTAGTTAAATTGAAATTGTTAAATCAATTTCTGTCTGTTGGTTTTCATAACTTTGATAACGAGTTTAGAGTTTTTAATATTGAATAGGATAAAAATTTGTACACTTACAAGTTTTTAAGGAAAGTTTTAAGATGTTCGACAGAGCCATGCTGATTTCATCATCATCATCATCATCATCATCAGCCTATTATGTGCCTACTGCTAAGCAAGGCCTCTTCTCACAAGATTTCAAACGTATAATACAATTTTATTAGTTCAGGTTTCCTCATGATCCTGAGTGTACGGCGCGTAGTTCAATAAACCAACACAAATGGGATCCTATAGGGCTAATGTTCAGCCATGGTTGCGGGATAAGCGCAATAGGGCACTGCGGTCCCGGCCCAAAGCAGGAGAAGGAACGGAGAGGTTTTAGTCAGTAAGAGTCCGGACACTTCCTCATGACTCACCTCGCCTCATCATTTGATGATTTCGCCATTCCAAAAAAAGTATCCTCACGATGTTTTCCTTCACCTTATGTCAGTGGTGTCTGATTAATCCATCATCACACATCAAGAAAGATTCAATGTCGGTTTTTTATATAAAAATAATTCTTTTGTTACACTCAAAGCTATATTGGATTCCTATTGAAAAATAGCCTTAAAAGTTTCAATATCAATTAACGACTTTAGTACTTAAGGAAAATCACCATTAATATTGAAAGTTCAAATTCTTACGTAATAAATTAAATGCTTTGTTATGTAAAGTTTGACGTTTAATCATAATTTTATGGGAGCTAACTTTTATCTTATACTTATTTGATGTTCTTTCACAAACTTCATCCAGATCATTTTTGTAAGGCTGTTTGGGATTTTTGGACACTTTATACATAATCCATTTCTATTAACCACTTAATGGTTGGTTGGAATTTGATCGTATATTGAATAATGATTGGGAGTTCCAAATTAAAAATGACAATATCTACTTATCAATCTAGATGGTATGTAGGTTTGTTGTATTTTATTATTTTTATTTATTGTATGTTGTCTATACGATAGGACGTAATGTGACCTAATAAAAAAAATTGTATGAGTACCCATACATTACAGTCAGCAGTCGATATGCTTTCCTGGTAGTCTTCTAGATATCGATTATCATTCTTAAGGATGATAAGAGAGAGTTTTAGTTCTCATAACACTAAAATCCAGACATCCACTGCACGGTTATCGCAGTGGCTGTGCAACCGGCTGAAGTGCAACAGTTCACGAGTTTGATTCCCGCATCGAAGAACTCTTCGTGTGGTCCACCAAATTGTTGTTTTTGGTCTGGATGTGAGTTAATGTTGTAAACTCACCCACGACATAGGAAAAAATCCTAGTGAATTAGTGTAGTTGAATAAACTTTTTTTTTAAAGTGGGTTTTGTAGTTTTTCTCGTTAAAACATTGAAGAAGTTTTATAACAATGCCAACGAAACTGATATCTATCTAATGTTACTTTCCAAGTTTAAGAAACTCGTTACAAAAATAAAAGTTTCAACTTTCGCTGGCGTATGTAGTAGGATGCACATGTATGCGTTCACATTCAGTTTGCTTAGGACTGTGACTGCCAATTATAGATGAGCTCCGCCCAGCTTGTATTCAAGGCGCGGCCGTTGCTTCCTTTGACAAGGAAATAGCTTGTGATTACATTGATTGCCAGTTACGTGACTCAGCTAGCGTTTCTCTGTTGATATATACTTCAATGAATATGTATGAAGGTTCAGATCGTTTGCGGTCGTCGTGAAAGAGGAATGGTTTGCTTTTCCAATTGGCTTTTTACCATAGTCAAACATAATTTAATTTGGGGTTTGAAACCTATTTAGTTTGTATACTTAGATGGTGAGTGTGTTGAAGATCAGTGTACACATATTGAGTCAGTCCTTTCAAATCGAATTCAATATTTTTCTATGGTAAAATTGCAAATTTGAAATGGCTGAACTAACTAATTACGTTTTGAGTAATTGATTGTGAATTATGACCATATTGAAGGTATATTGGTACATTGGTCTACTGGTCTACTGGTTTACTGTTTTCCGATAATCATACAAGAAAGAACTGATATACCGTACAGACGTGCACAGACACAAAATATGGAGTTGTAAAAATAAATATAGTAAAGAAATAAAATCACAACCAACTTTAATCGAATTTATTTCCTACTACATACAATAAATTTTATCTAATAATTAGCATAAAATACATGTCTATTGGGATATAGCACTTGTGCTATATAAGAGAATATCCCTCTAACAACGTGATACAAGGCATAAAACAGTTGTACAAACACATCAAGCTGAAACGACAGTAGTGGGACTTTGAAAATGAAATCGATTGAATGGCAGATCGATTGCATAATCGGCCTGCACATCTCCAGGTTGCGTGGTCAAGTCAGCTAGAGGGGTCGGTGCATCAATAGCCGTAAAAATTGGCCCAGATACGTCTGAGGGTCCAGCGTAGATTGGATATAATCTTGGTTCAGCTTCTTGTTTGACAGCTTTAGAAACTTCGGGTTTCCACGTAACTATTTCTGGACCTTTAGACTTCATTTCTTTATCAGTGGCAATGTGAATTCTGTCTCGTTTCATGATTTCTGTGTCTGTCCAAGGGTTGTGGACGGATAGAGCAGGTGGAGGTGTTCCAGGCATGATTCCAGGTGGGGGCCAGTCGTCTCGACTCCTCTTCTCGTAGTAGTCGTAAGGGTAGGAGTGGTAAAACCCGTAGTTCACCGGACTTGAAGCAATCTGGAACAGAACATCTGTTAACGGGTTACCCCGGGTGATTTTAGTAAATGTGCATCAAAGCCTACACGTGATTTTAATATTATTAACAATTTACTATTATTATTATGCAGTTGTTAGGTTAAGAAGGAAGTAAGATTGGATTATTTGAATTCATACCTTCCCCCGGTCATGATACCCATCATAATTATTGTCTACCTAAAAGAGAATACTTTTATGTATATTTTTGTTAGTTATTGATAGGGATGATGACTTCTAATCTAGTGTTTTATCCTCGTATTCGTGTCTAGTCGATTTGTTAAAATTGTTGACTTACATTTTAACTAGGTACTGTATACTTTGGTGTATTTTTACATTAACTAAAAATCGCAGGTTACTCACGTGCGGTGACGTCGCGCAGCCGCGTCCGCGCACGCTGCTCATGAGGAAGAACCCCTCTGTGGTTCGAAACTAGTAGAGCTTTTCTCAAGATAGACACGTGAGTAACCCGCGATTTTTAGTTAATTTAGTATGTCTCACGATAGTTATTATATTTTTACATTTTATACTCGACCATGGTCTAGATGTATAATTCTGAAACTTTTCTTAATTTAACTCAAAGTATAATATTTTTTTGATTATTAATTTGACGTACTAAATAGCTATTTAGTTTTTGTAGTGTGTCATCATTCCTATTATATTATTATTATTGTGTTAATGCTAGTTCCTTGTTATTCTTTTGGCGTTATTATGTTGTTAGAAGTTAATTAAGTTATGTGAGCATCTTACTTACAAGAAATTTCACCCTAACATAATGTTATGAAGAGTTATAGGTGCCTATACACTTCTTGATATAAAAATAGAACCTTATTAAAGTCTTACGTTACTTTATGAAGCTCGTAAATTTTGTATTAAACTCCTTGTTTTTTTATATATAGAAATATAAAACTACATAGCTGCTGCTCTTGATATTAGATCATATAAAAGTCCTTTAAATCAACTTGTTGCATTGGCAAATTACTTTTTTAAGTTTAGTTAACGACAACGAAATAGAAATAAAAATATATTAATGTTGTTATTTAAAAAAAACTATTTTGTCACCTATAGTAACAATCTTAAATAGTTAATAATGCAGATGCTTACCTTCTTAAGTCCTTGTATAGAAGCAAGAATGAGCGCCATTTTAGCTAGTAAGAGCGCTTTCCCTCCCAAAACTGCGAGGAATTGGAAGCCCATAGGAACGAGGACCATGCCGATGGAAACGATGCCAAACATCATCATCGTCATCATCTGATGACGGCGCCGACCTCGGTATTCAACTGTGAACGATTTTTGTGGTTTAATTTCATAAATGTATATTGTAAGACTTTGTAAAAAGAAGTTGAGATAATTGTAGAGTATCTAAGTGAAAACTATGTCTTGTAGTCTATTCAAAATTGATGTTTCATTGTTATTGATTAAATCAATTTCTTACAATTAAGCATTTTAAAGCACATCACATCACTTTATCAACCTATAAGTGCCAATTGCTGAGTAAAGATTTTTGCTGAGCAAAGAACTTTGATTGCACGATTCGCGCGGTGGCTGAGCAACTGGCTGCCGTACAACGTGTTGCGGGTTCGATTCCCGCACGAAACAATAATTTGTGTAATCCACAAATTGTTATTTCAGGTCTGGGTGTGATGTGCATGTGAATATGTTTGTTTGTAAACGCACCCACGACAGAGGAGATAATCCTAGTCCTTAAAAAAAGACTTCTTCTAATACAGAATAAATCTATAAACCCTCAAGGCAGATTGACTATTTTACATTTATAATTAGGGCTTATAAGTTCAGTTTTCTACACGATGTTTTCTATACACCATATGTCAATAGTGTCTAAATAACCTTAGAAAATTTAATTAACTCTGACAATGCCACACTGCTAGCCAGGTCCGCACCCTCATGTATGAGTAGCGGGTGCTTCAGCCTCCTAAAGACATTCCAAACAAACTAGCAAACTAAATTAAGTAAGTAATTAAAGAAATAATTAATTCTAACCTTTGTCAATACTTTTTCCGTCGTCAAAGTCGAATTTGATAACGTGAGTTCTGAGAACTTTGGCCATTCTTTGGACTGCTAGCGTTCGCCACTCTCCTTCTTCCAACTCCTTTTCTGTCCATGTACTGTGAATGAAGACACAATTTAGCACTTTCACTGTTCACAATAAAGAAAAAATAGTTAAACAATAGCCCCAGTCATATGTGAATCCTCAGACAGGAAAGAAGCTAGTAATATTGTTTATCTTTCATTTCTTCTTTTTACCACATATACAAATTCTGCGTGTAACCTACTCGTCTCACATTAAAGATTTATTAATAAAATGTGAAAGAGCCATGCTTTCGCACGAATGGGTCGGCTCGACAGGAGTGATACCACATTGAGAATCGCCCGCGTGAGTGAGGTTACCGGAGGCCTCATTTACCTTAACCCCAATCCAACCCCAACTCAAAAAAAGGTGAGCAACATTCGCTCGTTTGTCACCTACCAAATAATAAAAATCATAGGTTTTAGGAAATCAGTACTCACTACAAAACAATTTAATTTTAAACGTTAATTAGATTTACTCCTCTTTCAATAAGGGATCCTAGGTTAAAATATTGTTATTTTAAAAAAGCCGAACAAATGCACAGGGTTTCGCATTCCTTCAATGGTTTAAAATATTAATAAAATATCAAAGGCTGTTAAAAAGCACGATATGTTGACTCGAAGATCTAATTGGTGAAATTTATCTGAAGCTATCTCAGACAGCTATTGAACAAGGGTTTTCAATAAAAAAACATGCTATTAATAACATCCAGTGATCACGTCAGTAATAGATCAAATAATAAAGATTCAAATGTCATCACTACCCTATAACTTAAAAAAACGAACTAAGTTTTCCTGTGGATAAATATAGCCGAGATATACGTAAAGGGAATCTCTGATTTAATAAAAGATACGAGCAACATGCAACTGGCCAAGTTGACGGTGGCATAATTTTCGGCCATACACGTCATCCTACGCTTGAGTGAAACTCCTCGTATAAATTTTCCGGGGAACCGAATTATGATAAATATCCCTAATATTAAATGTACCGTATTATTTACTGAGGAGCATTATGAAAATTTGTGAAGACTTTTGTTTAAGTAGGTATTATTGTAATAGCAGCCTCGAATACCTAAAAATGTTTAATAACTTCGTCATATTTTATGGCAATCAGGTTCTTAGCCATATTTTTTTATTAACCAGGAAATCAGTTCATTTTGTCTTTATGAACTGACTGTCTGTATGAATTCTGTGTATATTTGAACGTACAACGAACAAGATTCTACCACAAAAAATAGAAACCACAGTGGAGGTTAAAAATAACATTTCATGTTTTTAAGGAAGTTTAGAATATCAATAATAATAAAACAATTGCTGATTAGTAGAACATTGTCTACTAAGTAGAATTAAACTATTAATATGATAGAGAGGGTTTCTTTGTCCAATAGAGAATAAATAGTAAGTACAATTGGTATTCGAATACCCAGGAATCCTATTCTGTAGTAATTTAGTCGGAAATAAAGTAAAAAGTTCTTTACTACAAATTGAATATCCTAAAAGCACTTAAACTCATGGATACAATTTAGTTATGAAAGGATTTTATATAATTCTATTCTAAAAGTGCTTAATAGTATTTCTAAACTCCATTTTACCAAATATACGAGTAGGAAGCCAAAAGTTAACAAATCTGCAAATATTAACGTTATAAAATTGTATTAAAACTTTCTAAACAAAGCCAGGTTTAAAACAGTCTGCAGAAAAAATATAAAAACGGCTCGGTTGCTTTTCTTGAATTGCGAATGATGTCGCATAAAATTCAAAATGGCGGACGCTAACAGATTTTCTGATGCATGTTGCGAAATAGTGAACTGTTTTTGGCAGGTTTTTTTGCATACGGAACAGCGGTCAAGTTTTGACAAGCACTAATTACCGTGTGCCGTCTGTTGTGGCGAATGTGAAGAGTTTTATATTTCAAAGGTCTGGTTTCACGGCAACTATGTGTTTTTTTATTTAGATTGGTAGCTCGTCCATGAATGGACATTTTCAGTAGATTTCTAGCCACAAACAAAATTGAGTATCTTATTGCTGTCAATTGTCAATGCTGTGGTGTAATTTTTATTATATTTTAAATCATTTAAATCACATTTGAAACAACATATTTGACCAATAAGACAGTTAAACTGAAGAACAATTCCTTATATTACACCTACTCCACTAGTAGTAATCAGTTTGTTTAATTACGCCTAACTGTATTCGAGCATCAAGTCCCACACTAGGGCAGCAATTATTTCGGTCACAGTTAACATTCATATGCATGTCCTACGTGATTACAATTGCAAAGCGTGCATTAGGCCAAAGTCTGTGCACGCTTGATAGTTGACAGCATAGTTGATGGCTGCTGTATTCAAATATTATGAAGTATTTGTTTAAATGAATTGCGTCTCCACCAAACATTTTTGGTTAAGCTGTAAAGGTCTAAATATTTTTGCATAGATACTTCTTTGATAAAGTCTCGTATTCCATCCCTTCCTAATCCTTAAATATCGTAAACTTTTATCCCTAAAAGGCCGGCAACACACTCGACAACAACTCCTTTGGTGTTGCGGGTGTCCATGGGCGGCGCTGATTGCTTACCATGAGGTAATCTGTCTGCTCGTTTGCCGACCTATGCCATAAAAAAGCGTAATGAACGTAAAAATAGCTTTGAGCACAGCCCGGGCCCAATAAGGCTGATGTTCAGCTGGGATTGCGGGTCAAGCGTAACTATGTACTACGCCCTTGGCTTAGAGCAGAAGAAGGAACGGAATAGTTATTAGTCAGTAAAGTGTCTGACATACGTTCTTACTCCACCTAGGGTGAGAACAGTCATTACAGATATTCCCCCTTGATGGTATGGTAATAGACTACGTATGTATTGAACTCTATGGCAGACTCTAAAAATGCACAAGCCTGAAATCGAACCTTTCCCTTGGCATGGCGTTTGCAGTCACTCAACGAGCAAACCAGCTGAAATGCACAAATAAAGTATTTTAAACACCGTTTTTGTTGTTTATAATAAGTGTAGAATTTCGCCACAACAACGAAATTGGAGTTTGTTGCGCAATTTTATGCGACGCGCGGATTGAATGACGTTGAAAAATCGTCTCGGGGTCATTACCCTGACTTGTGCGTTCCAAACGATTGACGATCGAAGATTTGATCGACTTAAGTACAACAATTCAAGTTTATAATGTTACTTTGAACATTGTAGTAGGTATACAGTCTAAAGAACACAAAAATGTTTACTAATGATATGTATAATCACTGACTTAAATCTTGTCTCTTAAGGAGTAAGCAGAAAATTTGTTAAGAACTACAGACTATTTGATTGATATGTACTGTAAATCTGAAATATACCTACCTATGTTGATTAACAAATAAATGATATTAATGGTTATGGGTTTGATTCCCGTATTAATCATAGTATTGATCTATTAAGATAAGATTCGAACAGAGAACGAACGAACCTTAATTCTCTTTATCAAATTTAAAAAAATCCCAATTGTGTCAGATCTTGTTTGGAATGAAACTTGAACATTATTTAATGGCTTCTTCTGCCCTGAGAAGAGCGAGAGAAAGGGTCAGACTCTTAGTAACAAAGACCATTCTGTTCCTTTCTCCTGTTTCATTTTGGGGTCGCAGTATATGACTGGTGAGGTGATTTGTGGCCTTGATTCATCAATACCTAACGATCTACGAAGGTTGGAGGAAAACTTAATAAGGTAAGTAATCAGCGCTAGCTATGGTCACCCACAACGCCAGTGAAGTGGTTAGCCGACCTTTTAGTGGTTGTCGAATTGAGGATGTGGGGGATAAAGTTCGGGCCTACGGCGACCTTACTCACTCGGCGGAACACAACGCAATAGTTGTTTCCTTTTTTCTATGAGGCCGTGGTATCACTCCCGTTCGAACCAAAATGGTGGACTTCTTGACTCCTCTTTTTCGTTCATATAATGAATACCTAACCTTCTTTTTCATAACGTTATCCCTATAAATTCCGCTGAAATGTCCCTGAATATAATTATTTCACGCGAAGGCACGGTTATCAGATCTCCAATCCAATTACTGAGAAATAAGTTTCCGCATCGCCAGGTGGACTATCTTCGGCGTATCTGCGTATAAGCAAAATTTGTGGTTCGGAACTCATTATGATAAGGTAGTAAATCTTAGACTAGAGGATACATAATAAATCGCGTTGGTGGATTCCTGGGGTACAGTGAAATCTTTATTAGTTTTTTTTAAATCTTGCAATACAGACATTACCGTGTCAAAGAGTCAAGAGTTATATTGTTACACGGTAACAGGCTTCTCTTTGATTATATTATAATGAAAATTAAAATTCTGCCTATCCGACGATGTTATAATTGAAACAACGACGATGTTAACGACGTGAATTGAAACGACGATGTTATAATTGAAACAGCAAATAGAAAAAACAAAATAAACAATTGACGATCAGCCAAATAAAAATCAAAACTTGAAAAATCAAGGCTCGATGATATGATTTATTATGATGAAACATAGATATAAATAAATAGATAAATTTTACGGCCTATTATCGTCTTACCTAGTTTCATTCTCAGGCATAACATTGCCGGATCGGTCGACAAGCTCGAACCGTACCAAGTTGATCCCATCGGCTACAGGCACCACGTCTGGGGTCAACGACCGGTCGAGAGCTCTTAGAGTTTTCCTCTTCATACATCTCACGAACTTCGGGAAGTATTCTTTGTGATCTATCACGTCCTTCACGTCCACCAGCTGTTGAATATTTGTTTTCATTAATTGGGGTGTGAAAAGATGCAAACTGGAATATTTTAGGAGAACCATTAGTGTATCACTGTAGGTCTCGTTATGGGTTGTTTTTGTAATAGAAATGATATAATGTGTAGGTAAATAAAATCTGATATATATTCAAAATGTTTGTTTAACAATTTTGTATTTTAATTCTTCTTCGTTAACATACAAAATAGCAAGTGACGATCGTGTGTACTATCAAAGTATACAAAAATATATACAGTTTTTAGACTCTTGTTTTCCTTTTCAATTTTTTTTTTCAGTTGGGTCTGACATTTTTAATACGCTTGAAGACTTAACTTAAAATCTAACTACGGTACTTATGTAAATTTTAAATAAAGTGTACGGAATAAACTTTTCACCTACACATTATTGTTAATTTGTTAAAAAACTGTCTGCTAACTTGCGCATCGACATTCTAATTATGGACTACCTACACGAGAGAAAATTTAAAGGCACGTTAACTTTGAAAGCATGTATCGTGTTTTCAACTTTACAACTTTTGGATCTTATTAGGAACATCTTCTTAGAGTCTGCGCAGACTAGGGATTTTAATCCGGCTGAATTGACTCAACTTCATCAAGAAATAGTGTAAGCTCTTTTCATGAGATATTTAATATACTGTAGTTTAATAAAATGTCTTTATTGACAGAAAAGATTACACATCACGCAGTTGGCTCAAGTTTTCGATGGATCTTTTTTTCAATATTTAGGGTTGATTATTCAATGGTTAGATAATTTACCTGGGGTATAATTATGATGCTGTCGCATCAGATTGTTTGTATAAGACAGTGACAGGAACAATTTTACATTTATCTCATTATTGAAAAATCATCCCTTAGTCATTTTATTAAGGTTGACTGGTGGATAATGCCATAAGGCACTAAGTCCGCCTTATGTGACTTTATTTATTTGTGTACATTAAAGTGTAAATAAATATATTATTATAGTAACAAGTTCAATTAAGTGCTGCGTCTTTTTAAACGCAATAGGAACTCAGTGTGGTACCGAGTAAAGTTAGGTTTTTTTTTGCATTTTTAAACGACAGAAGTCTTACGTCTACCCTGATCCTTAATGTGCTTGTAACATAAGCATGGCGTCTCACAATCTCCTGTGCGTATAAAATATTTATATTCAAATTAGCGATTCATTTCTTTGTGATGAGAACAAAATTAATCTCGTGCGTGTAAGCACGATTTGTTAACTCTTAGAAAACTTGAGATATAAATATGTAGGTAAGTATAATCAGCGAGGGATGCGGGTACAACCACAGTAATGTACTGATGAAAACAACTCTTTGTGTGATCCACATATTGTCGTTCCGGTCTGGATTCCATTTGTATGTCCAACGGTATGATCGTAAATGCTCCCACGACACAGGAAAATCCTAGTATGGGACAACGTTTTTATTTAAAGAAAATAACAATGTAACAAGCCAGAAACATATATATAAATTTCTAAAAAAATTATCATAAAAACTAATATTTTCCACACAAAAACAAAACACACTATAATAATGCCATGATAACAAAGAGTTTTAATATCATTCAATTAAGGTTCATATCTGTACATTTTTATAAAAAGCGTGTTTGCTAGTAAAGCCGATTAAAGAGATTTCGAACGGCTACTGTAGGCTTATGCGAGGTACCATCGAGGACAGACTAAGGATATTGTTGTATGTCCACAAATATTCTTAATGGGAACATGTACTTAAGGATGAACGTACTTAGGTAAGTGTACTTGAGAAATTGAATATCAATGCGAAAAGATCTAAGGAAAAATATCCCTTAAATAATTCATAGATGTTACGATATTTGAGTATTCTAATGAAATTGAGAAGAAAAGATTTCTTAAATTCAATATCATAGCCATAGGGATAAAATAATCCTTAGAATAGGCTTGAATTCTTGAAGTGGACTAGATAAGTATTTTCTCTTCCATTGAAAAGAAACACTTATTTATTTAAAGACTTGGAAACATTAGACATTTCTTCGGCAATTATATTCTTATAAAATTGTATCATATAAGACCCTTATAAATAAGTCTGAGACTCAAGACTGCAGACTTGTTAGTTTTAAACTTTAAAAGCAAAATACGTAAGATTATGAGAATGTATGAGCTAGTAAGCTTTCAAAGGTAGGAAACTCGAACAAGTTGACCATTAATGTCTTCTTGCAAAGCCTCTATGCTTCATAAGGATATCATTATCCGTAGAACAGTACTCGTATTCCTTGACGGTTATTGTTACACAGAGCATCGGCATCGTGAAGGAAACTGCTTATTATCTAAAAATAGTTTTGCTAAAGGAAAAGACTGCGTCCTGTATAATAAGGAGCGGATCTCATATTATTCTATTTTTATACGGGTTGCATATAAATTTATATAGGTGCTTATAAGTAGACGTTGTTGATAAGTAGGTAGGTAATAATCTTGGTTATAACCATCGAAGTGGGAAAAGAAATATATTGATTTAAGTGTACAAATATATGAATATTGTTATATCGTGTGTGAGAGGTTACCGAAGGCCTAATAATTGACCTTCGTCAACCTCTAACAACCCACAAAAGGCTGGCAATGGCAACCTGTAACTTTTTGGTGTTGCGAGTGTCTATAAGCGACGCCGATTGCTTACCATGAGGTGATCCGTCTACTCGTTTGTCGAGATACCCATTGTTTTTAAATAGGGAAAACATTCAATTACTTATCCCGCCCTAGCTAAGAGCTAGATAGAGTGTCAGAGCCCTACTGACTAAAAACCTCCACGATACCATGCATTTTTGCGCTACCACCCACAACCTCGGCTGGAATATGGTCACATCTAGTATAAGAAATCTGTCTATAATAAAAAAATAGCAAAACTACCTAATTACGACAGCAGCTTACTTTAAGTAGACTACTCCTCATTACAAAAACCAAAGAACCAAACTATTCGACACTTACCTTCTTTGAACAATCTCGCCATATAATCCTGATGACCTCAGCACCTTCCAACCATAAATCTGCGATCAGCTGACTCACATACGAGTCTGGATCAGGCTGTTTTTGTTCGCCATGACACCCGACGATTAAAAAAATAGCTAACGTGGATATGACTATGAAGCAAAGAGAACGCATTGTCACGTAGTTCATATTCTCACTTTTGCCATTTCTTGAACGATAGAAAGAGCTTCGTTTCTGCAAAGAAAGTTATAAATAGATAGCAATGTTCATACACGATATTCCTTGTAATACGTAGTACTTATAAATGTGTAATAATATTGCGAGTAGCTCAGATTATGGCGATTCTCGTGAATAATTCAATAAAAAACATGTTTTCGCTGAAATCATTTATATCTACTGAATAAAATTGCGCGAGACATATTTACGAAAAAAATAACAGTTCAGTATATGTAGGTAATAAACATATTTAATAAATTTCCATAAAGATAAATAAAATGTAATATTAAAATGCAAACTTATTAAACAACTTTAGAATATGCATTTATGCTAGTTAAGCAAAAATGTATTTTAAGTATAAAGATATAGAACTTCCCTTTGATTTGTAATGAAAAACTACGAAATCAAATTAAAAAGAACAAAGAGATGCTTCCAATAATGTTATTGTTCGATGTATGAGAAACTTTTAATATACAATTATAAGTTGTAAAAGGGGAGAAGAGGAACACAAAAGACGGTGTAAAACTTTTAAACGCTATTCCGTGAGAGTATTCCTAAATCTTAAGGTTTTAACACTTTCTGGAAAATTCCTAACTTTGAGCCTTAGGTTTTCGTGATATATTATGTTTCTTTATTTCATTTTTGTCCAGTTAGATACTAGTAGTACTTTTATATCTTAGTTCTATATCCTAGTTAAGTACTAGTAGACTTTAAATGTAGTAATTGTAATAGTTCAATAGAGTTTTTTATTGTTTGTAGCAACTTTTTTGACAGTAAATGTAAAAATATGAGATTTTGTAATTTACCTGCGTATATAGTAAGTAACTTTTGGAGAACAAACCATATTTATCTTAAATAACTATTTACGAAATTAATCGAGAAAAGCTCTACTAGTTTCAAGCCATACCGGGACGCTTATTCATGAACAACTGGCTCATCGTGGTGACGTCACGCAGTCCTAAGAATTCGGAGTGAGTAAATCGTTAAGACATTTAATTACACAAAAAGCAATTTTATTTTTAAAGGTCGACAAGGACTATGTTTGTAAGATGATCATCATTAAGTAAAAGAAACATAAAACTTATTGATTATTGTGTGGAAATTGTTCACGATATTTTATTAAGTTGAGCTTTACCGTTATCAGACATAAGGTTCAGAACTTTCAAACAAATTTAGTAGGCGTTATTGGATGAATGATCTTTTCGAAATCGTCTTAAAGATATATTTATACTATTTATCACATCAAAAGACAAGCTGACTGAGTTTATTATATTAACAGAAGTATAACTTAGGGAATTTAATTTAAGGTACTATTTCTTCCGGAAAGTAAAAATGAAAATTCAAGACGCTTTTGAACTCACTCTTCTTGCTTATGTAAAGGAACAAAATTTATGTTAAAACATGTATATTTTGAAAAGATACTTGAATGAATAAGTGAGGGAATTTCGTCTACTGTCGTTCATGACTTTCGTATCATAACGTCACTGTAGTATCCTAATTATAAAGTAGTCTACCTTATTGTATATTAATACTAATATTATACAGAGGGGATTGTTGTAGGGGATAATCTTTGGAACTGTTGGTCGGTTTTACAAAATTCTTTTACTGAGATAGCTACAATGTTCCTGAGTTCTATATTTTATTCGTGAACGGGAAGTAGTTGCCTCGGGACACAGACGAAGCTGCGCAAAACAGCTAGTATAAATAAAAATAGAGATATAAAAAGAAATTAAATACCTGTAACTTTGTTAAAGCTTCTAAAAATACTTGAAACGAAGACTAGATCCACTGTTAAACTATATGCACAAGAACGCAATACCCTTCTTCGTTCAAGGTCAAATAATAAATGGAAACACCGAGTAACCCCCTTACCTTATATGCCCATGAACAATGGAAAGCGAACGATTTTCTTCGTGGTCACTGACCAAAACATGCTAATGAATGACCATGGCTATGCATCAGCTTGTGCAAAACCATGACAATATGTACACAGGTTCTTATTAAATATTTTCTTCAAGAAAATTCTAAACTATTTTTATTCTTAGCTAGCTTTCCACCTGTGGCTTTGCATGCGTATTATTTAACACTAGGGTAGGCCTGGATCCTGTTGGAAAATATGGATTAATAATAGACAGCCCATGCGCTCTCACTCTACTCTCGGCGGTGGCTGGGCGACTGGGTGCCCCGCAACGTGTTGCGGATTCGATTCCCGCACGGAACTCTTTGTGTAATCCACAAATAGTTGTTTTGATGTGTATGTTTGTAAACGAACTCTCGGTACAGAAGAAATCTTAGTGTAGGACAATATTTAAAAAAAAAACTGGAGAATAAGTTTCCAATAAGAAAAGCATTTTAAAGTCATTCGGAGCCACGTAAGCAAGCGGACAAAATATGAAACCTTTCCTTTTTATAATATTTGTTCAAATTGCTGTTTATATGACTGAAGTTTTCCAATAAAATAGGTGCTAAAGTTGCCAGTAAAGCATGTAAGGAAACGTAGAATCTCTTTTGTTTCGAGAGAAGAGAGCAATTTTATTGTCTCGATCATCATTTGGAAAATGTTATTGTTTTACGCCAATTATGTTGAAATAATTGGCATTAAACTATTTTTTTTTTCTAAGTAAAACTTTCATGAAAAAGCTCTAGAAGAATTTAGTATTTTTAATACATTGTATTTTAAACCACATATGATTATAGATAGGGAAACATATCCCTGGTGTGGATTGTGGATTACTATATTGATTTACATGAACTAAAAATTTAAAACCAATTTCATTTAGCGACAAAGAAGGAATATAACAGACTACCTTTCACACGATGCAGGACTTAATCGCTTTCTGCATCGCACCCTTGACCTATCTACCGAAGGAGTGGCTCTCGATGTAAAGGTCGTTTTACCTCATCATATTTATTTTTAACCTTTTTCTTTGAAGTATTGAACCTCCAAGAAAGATTAGATATTAGATGGTGATGACGTCATTTCAAAGATTTGTTACGTATCTATATTATTTTGTCTGATGTGGCTATATTATTTTTATGGCATAACTAATAGAGCGGCAAACAATCAGACGGACAATCACTTAAAGGTAAGCTCTCAGTAATACGTGAATATTAGCAGGCCACCCGTGGCTTTATCTGACCTGATATGACAAAAAGACACAAAATTACTTATTATTATTTTCACATTTATAATTTTTTTTAATGTTCAAATAATATTCGGTATTTGATAAAAACTTATCTGGTCACCAAAATTTTAAGCAAAGAAGTAACATGGGGTCGAACAGTTTAACGTATGAGAAAATTCAAATATGGAAAATTTTATAAAAAATAAGCATGCTCGAGAGAAAAAATACTATTCGCCTGGTAATTTAATTCCTGAACTTTTCATAAGTCTACATCAAAGACAAGAAATAAATCGTTGAAACCTGTTTATGTTAAGTTTTTTTTTTCTTTTTCATTTAGTAAAGATAAGAATTGTTGGAAGATTTCCATAAACGTGATTCGAATATTATTTTGATTTGATTTAGACTTCTTTTAGGAGATCGGATTTTTTCATTTAATTACGATTTTCTTTGGTAATTTGTAACTAGTTCTATTTAATTTCAATAATCAGTAGTTATTCAGAGAAACGTATTCATAAAACTTTTTGTTTTACAGTTCTAAGGTATCATTAGGAAAACAATACAGTTTCTAGAATATTTTTAAACCTTTTCTAAACAAAGAACCTTTTTTAATTCAATAGAAACGCGATTCTTTATTATAAAAGCTAAATTGTTAAAATATTGAACCGCTTTCACGTTAAAATATTATGATTTCTCACCTTGTCGAAGGTCCAGTTTCTCTTTGTTATGCAAATCCAAAACAATGTGTATTATTTAATAACCTTTCGTGAATAATTTTTTATTGTATTATTATTTCTTGAATATTATAAAAATAATATTCCTATTAGGTCGATCTAGATAATATTATTATTTAGGGATGATGAAGTTTATAGATAGAGATACCGCCCTCTCTAATAATATTCATCAGTTCAATACTAAAAATGACAAATTAGAATAAATAAAACATAATTATCTTAACTGACAAAGAGACTGACCGAGTTTTATTCTATTTTGACATTTCAAAGTACATGTATACTTATAGTTTAGTTGGAATTTTCACTTTTGAATTTTACTTAATAGCTGCCGTGGTTGGGTGACCGGTTGCTGTGAAAAATGTCACAGCGACCGGATTCAATTTCCGTGTCAGGCAAAATACGCTAATGGATTTTTTTGATTAAAATGACCATTGGTAGTCCAGAGACAAGAAGTTCAACTTAGCGTCAATGCGGCCGACCCTATCTCTGTCTGTCATCTGTCCGGTAGTTTCGGTTTGCTGAATATGGATTTGTGCACTTTGATATTTGTTGAAGGGATGATTCGCTCCCTAATTTTGAGGTAGAGATATCATTAAATGATTTCTCCCGCCTTCAATAGGGTCAGAGAGAGAGTCAGGTTCTTACTGACTAAAAACCAACCAGTTACTTCTACTTCTACTGCTATTGTGCTATTGTGTTAAAAATACAAGGCTTTATGACGTCATTCATATAAAATTAAGCCAGTACAGTACAGTCTCAGTAAATATTAAGATTAAATTATTATTTAACATTAATGTTGTTTCACAATAAAGTATTCTTAATAGAAAGTGCAAGATATAAATAAAACACAAAACAGCCTAATCAATAAAAAATAACATTGTTGTTACTCGCTTAGTAGGCACTTGATTAATACTAAGGGTCGCTTCACACCAAAAGATTGATGCGAGCGAACACTGCTCACACACTTCACATCATCGCCTATAAGTGCCCACTGCTGAGCAAAGGGCTCTTTTCACACGGAGAAGGTTTGATCAGCGCCGCCATGGAGACCCGCAACACCAAAGGAGTTACGAGTACATTGGCGGCCTTTTAGGGATAAGTTTTTCGGATATGTATGAATCGGGAAGTGATAGGGAAGGGGGAGGGATTGGGCCCCCGGTAACCTTACTAACACGGCGAAACCCACCGCTCTAATTGTTTCACGCCAGTTTTCTGTAAAGCTGTGGTAACACTCCGATTGAACCGACCCATTCGTGCCGAAGCTTGTCTCTCCCATACCTAACCTTATATCTGTGGTGTCTTAATGAACTTAGAAAGTACACATTGGTACTTGTAAGGTTTCAAAAACACCTCCTCCATCGAAGCCTGAACCTACGGGCCACCACGACAATCTACGGCTTATATAGGTACTTGAAACAAATTTACTTAAAACAAGTTTATTTTCCAAACTAGATTTATAGCATCTATCGTTGCGTCGCGTCGCGTCTCAATGTGAATTTACCCTAACTCGCTTTACATTGTTAAAGAAATTTGCTTAGCTAATTATAGTAGTTATAAATGCATACTTACTATTTGTTAGTAACAGTTTATTTACATTATTATGATTAACAATTTTTAGCAACTTCAATTACTGATTATTAAGTTAATCAATAGGCAATTCAACACTATGCTCTTTATTCTATATTCTGTAGAGGACCTATCCATTGTGTTTAATATATCACGCATTTTCGCCAATGGCGTGGTAAGGTTTTGCTAAAGCCGGGTAAATGATAATCATTATCATCAGTAGAAGACGTCTACTGCAGGTCCTCAAAGGCCCTTTTTGAATAATCATAAACGAAATGTATCATTGAGAATTTCAAATCAAAAAGCCCAACAATAATTTATCCTGAAAATAACCAAGTTGTATTTTTCTAAGAAACTTTCAAATCATGCCGTGATAAGAAAAATCCTAAAACCTGCTTTTATCGTTTCTAATAATAAGATTGAAATTGCCAATCCGCCTTGATCAAACGAAGTGATTAGTGCTCAAACCCCCCCCCCCCCCCCCCTCCGTGTGAGAACCTTTGCTCAGCAATTGGCAGATACGATAGGTGTAAGATTAATCCAAAAAAACGTTGTGTTAAGCATAGAAGAACCAACAGAAAAACAACTTAGGAGAAAAGGTTAAAAATATAGCTATATATCCATGCTTCGGCACGAATGGGTCGGCTCGACCGGAGTGATGCCACGGCCACACACAAAACCGGCGTAAAACAACTACAGCGTTGTGTTTCGCTGCGTGAGTGAGGTTACCGGAGGCCCAATCCTTCCCCTCCCCAAATCCCTCCTCAATCCCTAAATCTCCAAATCCCTAATCCCTAAAAGGTCGGCAACGCACTCGTAACTCCTCCGTTGCGGGTGTCCATGGCCGGCGCTGATTGCTTACCATCAGGTAATACGTCTGCTCGTTTGCCGACCTATGCCATAAAAAAATAAATAATAATATAAACTTAATTGAAAAAGCATTGCAAAAATGAAGATCTAATAATAATTCAAATTAAATTCTCTATAACAAAAGTTTAAGCTATGAAAGGGATAAAGATCAATTCAACTAATGGATCGGACATGGGATCAGCTAATTGATTTGTTTTATGACCACACCTCTCCCTAACACAAACATTGAACACGTATCTTAGCAAGTCTAATTATAAAACGGACTAATTGATGACAAACTTAGACTTTCTATTAATATCAAGGCTTGGAAATAAATTTAATATGTACCTACTGAGTTCACATATCTTAGTAGTTTTAGTAGACGAGTTTCATAGTAAAAATCATAAAAACAACCAATGCCTATCACATAGGTCGTTTTGATGTGATCAAGTTTTGATACCTAATTTTAGGAATCAGGAAAAAATCTAAATATTAATAGACGCACGTAGTCAAAACTTTGTGTAGAATTAGACTAAAACTCTTTCGAGTAAGTCTAATTCTACAGACAGTTGGTCATAACAGCTTTCAGGTATTATAGCAATATGACCCTTTAAGCAACAGAGGGAAGGTGTATTATTGTTTTAATTATAAACATTAATAACTTCTACACGGGGCTTAGCTCGCATGGTATGTTGATAAGAATAGAATAATAGTAGCCATGTGTAAAATCATCTATCTACAACCTCAGTCCAGCCTGAAGGAATAACAAACACACATCCATACATTCTCACAAACTTTCACATTTTTTTATTAGTAGGACGATTTATAAAGACGTTTTTAGGGAATAGAAATAAACGTAAAGTTTAGAACGTAGCGACAGACTTTTCTCTTTCTTCAGTCTTTGAAGGAGTGATGATCATATGAAATGTAGCATTCACTTTACAATAGTGATTCTATTATAGCGGTAGTACATTAAATAATACAAACAAATTGAATTTAAATGTAAAATCTAAATTAAATGCAAGAGAAAATGTGTCCAACTCCACAAATATTTTGATGACGGCTTGAATCGAGGCGACGTTTGGTGGAATAACGTGCTCTTTCAAGCGTAAAGGGTTTGCGATGTGTAAAGAATGAACGTATAGGGTCACTACCTATCTTAGTAACGAATTCACACTTTTGTGCAAACTAAATGTCAGCATTATAGAATACTTTTAAAAACGTAAAATGTATTGTATTATGTGAACTGCTCGCGTTTGGAAAAGAAAACTGCTCGCGATTTCATGCTCTTTGTTTGACCAAATGGATCCTTGTAGACTGGTGTCCTAGGTTGATCCATCGTCATGATTGGGTCACATCCACACTTTAGTCTTGTACTGTCCATCTTACCGAAGAAAATAATTCAACTACAAGGGGACTACATAACAATCCTTAGTAACGAGGAAAGCGACGCGAGGATGATCAATATATATCAATAAAGATAAAACTACTGATCAAAACGTGGCAAAAACCTAACCTTGGTCTGGTCCTTGGTGAAGTAACAATTTTTTTATACGTTTTGCCAACACAACTTAATATTTAAGTAACGTATTTGATTGTGCCATACTTTCGATACGAATGGGTCGGGTTGACCGGTGTGAGACCACAGCCTTACAAAAAATCGACGTGAAAGAACCACATCGTTGTGCTTCACCGTGTGAGTGAGGTTACTGGAGGTCCAACGCAACGCACTTATAGTAACTTCTTTGGTAGGTATTATGAGTACCCATGGGAGGCGGTGATTGTTTACCACCAGTAGGCCTACCATGACGTGTTAAAGCGTGAATCTTCCGGGCGAGAAAGAGGGATGGAGCTACAAAAGGTGTATAGCTCTGCCCCTTTTTCCCACCCGGAAGATTCCTTTAACACGTCATGGTAGGCCCTATGGTTATCGGCCTGCTTGTTCGCAACCCTATGACATAAAAATAGCGAATTTACATTAGAAGTAAAAAAGGGTTTTAGGTTTTCTTTTATACTGAACTCGTAACAAAACTAGGACAAACTAAGGATTCATCAAAATAAATGAACTTTTGTCTGCCTTATCGAGGAACGGAATAATAAATATTTATTTTTCATTTTTATTAAAACTGTGTCCATTATTGGAAAGTTCTCTTCGTAGTGCTGATACAATGTCTTATTTCCTTGTATAAAAAGTGAGGAAAATCGTAAAGTTTGAATGGAAATATAACTTTCTGTGATGTTGGTAATGCGAACAATAATGTGCGCATGAATAACAGATGTGGTCTCGTCTGTGTGAAGGATGGTTTTAATGTTAGTAATATTCTCGTGGGAAGTGCGTTCCATTTTTCGTCCATATGTTTGATTTGCGTATAAAAGTGTGTAAGATTAGGTAATGATTTCGTATGAAATTAATTTATGTGGTAATCAATCTTTTATCACAAACCTACACTGTGCAAAATTACAAACTCCTTGTTTTTCTCGAATTGGGCATTTAACCCAATAATATATCTGACTTCAAAGTCGCATTAAGGACGAATTGACCGCACCGACCGAGTCGAATTTAGGGTCTCTGGATGGCGAGGGTAGTTCGCCACCGGATCAGAACTAACCTAAACGTACGGCGCGTAGCGTTGTGCGCGCGCCTTAAAGAGCCAATAATAGACCACCACAGACGGGCAAGACAGAGCCGATGTTCAGCCGGGGTTGCGGGGTAAGCGCAATGAGGCACCGCGACCTCGGCCCAGAGCAAGAGAAGGAACAGGGGGGTTTTTAGTCTGTAAGAGACACTCCCTCCCGCCCTGGGCGGAAGAAGTCATTTGATGATTTTCGCCTAACAAAAAAAAACCGGATCAGAACTAGACCCTAGCGTATGGCGCTTTGCGTTTCGCACGTCTCAGAGCAATCAAACACCACAGATGGGCCTTCTAGGACCGTTGTCCATCCGGCTTTGCGGGTGCAAGCGTGCACTCCATTGCGCCCCACTCAGGGCGGGAAAAGTCATTTGTTGATTTTCCCCCTTCAAAAGGAAATGAAATTAACTTATTATAAAATAAGAGCGTAAAATGAATTTGTATAGGAAATTATTGCTACGTTATTACATTATTCGAAAAATATTTCTAAGTAATACAAAATACAAAAATTTCGAGAGTTCATCAAAATGTTTTAGCACAAATTTAATTGTTGAATTCCGTAATTATTTGCAAGTTTGCATCTGCTTAGTGTCTTAAAAATGTAAGTGCGAATTAATATTTCGTAACAATCAGGTCGTCGATTTAAGGTCACAATGTTCTGTTGACATTGCGCAGTTATTGAACGGATATAGAATGTAAACATATTTTTATGCGAAACGTATAATAACTGAAAACAAATAAAAAAATTATTATTAAAAAAAACAAAATACCCGACTGCACACTAAAAAAAGAGTAAAACAAGCCCCACAATACAAATTTACTGAATATAATTTATAAATGTTGATGGAAAGCATCGCAGGCGGGGACCAACAGAGGCTTATTTATAGTCATTTCTGTTGTGCACCATTTAGCAGAATTTTCGTTGGTGGCGGTCAAGGTGGTCCCCGCCTGCGATGCTTTCCATCAACATTTATAAATTATATTCAGTAAATTTGTATTGTGGGGCTTGTTTTACTCTTTTTTTAGTGTGCAGTCGGGTATTTTGTTTTTTTAATAATAATTTTTTTATTTATAACTTTTTAGCTATTTTTTTAAAGGGAAATTTAGAAAAAATATTATTATGTCTTTATCCCGTGGGACTTTTAGGATAAAATGTATCCTATGACACTCCCGTAATCAAGACAAATCTAACGATACCTCATACTTCAAAATCCATCAAGCCGTTTAGGCTACAGGAGGTCACAAAGGAAAAGACATACATACATACTTACATACACTCGAAAAACATTACCCTCCTTCTTTGGCAGTCGGGTAAAAATATCTTACGTGTGGGAGAGCCATGCTACGGCACGGATGGGTCGGCTCGACCGGACCACATGAAAACACGGCGAAAATGTGGTTGTTTCAAACCACAGTTTCGCCGTGAGAGTGAGGTTACTGAATAACCAATCCTTCTTCCCCTCCCCTAATCCCCAAATCTCCGAACCCCCCCTAGTCCCCTAAAGGCCGACAACGCACCAGTGACTCCTCCGGTGTTGCGGACAGGTTTAATCAGGCGACATTTCCACCAGACTTTCACCATGTTATTTTATCATCAACCAGATCGATTATACTTTAGTGTTGTGTTGTCATGAAATGAATTTAATTTCCCTTGGTCATGGAATCACGCGTGAAGGGCTCCACTGATATTGATTTATATACTGTTTTATTAAAATTCAGGAAAAGATAAGGATTTTTCTTTTGAAAGAAAATCCTAGAAAAGTAGAATGCCTTCCACTTTTCTGTGTTAATTTGGGAAATAGTCACCTTTTGGTGCCTGACACCGAGATATTTCCACACACGTGCGTAGCAGGAGCGCACCGCTGCTTATATTATAATTTTCAAGTTTGTAATTAATAGTCTTAGATGTTATAGCTAGATACCGTGACTTCGCTCCCGCTATTGTTTTGATTAAAAAACTCGTTCGCGTTAAGAATTAACTGCATAGTTCATGGCAGGTAAAATGATTCATACCCGAAACGTATCAGTTTACGTTTATCGAAAAGTGTCGACTAATTAAAAATATACTTGTACCCGAAATCTGCTGATCACAGGAGTGCACTAACTGATGTATTGAGTCAGTGAGCCGCCAGCGGTCGCTCGGAGCTGTGAAGTAACAAATTAATTGTTATTTTACTAAGAAAATAATGTGTTGTCGTGATTTGTGAGTGAATATTACATTAGCTGTAGGAAATTGTAAGTATTTAATTTCATTGATAAATACTTTGTTTCCTTTAAGTATTTTTATTAAACTTTGGACAATTTCAATGCAATTAAGTCACGCAGTTTTGACAATATACGATAAGCCGTATTCAAGTCTTATTATCACATTCAGTCCTATCTCTATATTGAAATTGATCAAAATAGGTTCAGCGGGTTGCATGAAAAAGCGTAACAAATAAACAAACAGTGATACGAATTGGGATACATTTGGAATTTTAAGTTACTATGTATACGCATTTGCGTTATCATATTATTATTTGCAGTATACAAATGATATTGCATTATCAATTCTTTAATCAAATTGTTATGTTGTCTCGTATACGGTAATTTGATCTTCTACGCCGAGGAAGTTTCGAGTGCATAATAATTCTACGTACAGCGTTCAACTAAATGAATATCCTGTTTAAGCTGTAGTCAACATCTATAGATGAGTGTTGGAGTAGTCTTTCCGTTAAATAAAGTGAAAATGTAGAGTTTTAGTGTCTTTCAGTCAAAAGTACTACTGAAAGTAAACACAATATTTGAAGGCATTTTATAATGCGTGCCTAACAATTTTGCTAAGAGACAGGACCTGAAGCTTCGAAAGCTAAATTATTGTGACGACTTTTATTCACAATTACTTAATAGTGGTTTAGTTAGATACTACAACTTAGCTGAAGAACTTAGCTCTTTATTTAGTTTAGGAAAACAAAAAATATTATATTTTAGCATCTTTCTCATCGCGCCTCTTGTTCTTATTTGGAGCAAAATAATAACATTTATTTATGTGGCAATATCAATGTAGGCGCGTCCTACTCGCAGATAATGTTCTATTTATTATAGCCATGTTTCGATGATCCTATCGATATTCAATAGATAATACTTTTTTATTCATTCTTAAAAATGAATAAAAAGGTATTACCTACTTATAATTACTTACCTAGTTATAATTTGGTATTGTAAGAATTCGTACATTAGTTCAGAGATTTTAGAAGTGAAGTTAAAGACGTGTGTCTTATTATTTTCCTGATAACACTTTGAAACAGTTGATGATATAAAGATATTTTAAATTTAAATATTGATATTTAAAAAATCTGTTTTTTTTTCAGATGACCAGTGAAAATATGAAGGAACGTTGGGACCAGCTAGGCCTACCACCGATGGAGTTGGCTGAGTCATCGGGAAATAGTACGAAATTTTTAATTTACCGGACTAACATTTTAATACTGAATTGCCTAACAATAAATAAATGATTGCATCCTTTCAATGAAAATATTTCTTGCATTTCAGGTCGTGATAACAATGGAGGGAACAGATGCTTATTCCCTTCACTACAAAAACTATTATTATTGTTATTACTGACATTTTTTGCGGTTGGAACTTACATCTTACTCTTTAGAATATCCGAAAACACTGGTAAGTGAAACCAAAATCCTTATAATTAGATAATAATATTTTGTGATATCTAATATTTTTTTCATTTACAGATTCAACGAAAATTATTATTGTCACTGGGAATAATGACCTTCCAAATGTAACACTTCACAATATGGAATTATATTCTATTCATTTGGATTCACAAGCGAAAAACGAAACATCTGAACAAGAACAAATATTAGATCCTTTGATCCTAGAAAGAAAGAAAAGAGAAATAACTTCAGCAAAATCAACGGAAAACATGGAAGAACCCATCATTTACAGTGATGAACAGTTACAGAAATCTCGGGAGCTTATGCTTGAGTATGATGCACACTGTAAAGAAGAAAATAAAAACCAAATCTGCAAAGACTTGGTTATGAAATTGAGAGAGCTACAACACAATGATGAAATGAAAAGTAAAGAAGATGAAACTAAAATGAATTTAGATGTCAACAATAACGTACAAAGAGACGCTGATGAAGGTAAAGCAAAACAAAGTGTTGATTTTAATGACTTAACAAAACGGGATACGTTGATGAATCTTGAACATTTTATGGAAGCTGTTCCTATGCCGATGAATGCTCGAAATGCTGATCCGTTGACTAATGCCCATGTTGAGCCCCATTCACACTCGGTACATCATCAGCATTTAAGCGATACTTGTTTACTGGCGCGTCTTATAAAACAGAATTATCCGCGAGCAAAAGGTATAGTCTGATCAGAGTCCGGATTTTTTAATTTTTTCCTTCTATTTATGAATATCTTATTATTATTATCGATTATTATTATTATTTTACAGAAATTTATGAGCCGTCTTCTGACTACTTACATACACAACATCACGATCATCCAATAATGTCTAAAGCTAGGTATGTTATATATATTTACTAAATATTTTCTGATATTCATATTTTTTTTTCATTGGGATGGCACTTATTTTTTTAATTGTTTCAAAGGTTTTTCTCACCCTCCGTGCATACGCCATATTTCCAAGAGCGTAAAATGGATATGCAAAGGCCAAAAATACACCCGCAAGATCTTGATATATTCATGAGCATGCTAACGCCAAAGTAAGTGAAGATTGTATTTACTAACCTTTATTTTCCCATAGGCTCAAATCTTTTTTTTTTTTTCGTTGAACTTATACTCTACAAAGCACTTTTTTCATCTATATCATTGGTATTGAACTATCAGCATTCTCTTTAAGTGAATCAGTCATCGTTAATGCAATAAAAAATATTTGATATGTTAACGTATTTAGGTTTAAATAATTTATTCTCATGTGAAAAGTAGGTTCGCATACAATGAAATATAAAGAATTATTAATCAATATAAATACGTTATTGCCTTATTATATAAATTTAATAACATTGTAAAATTGAAATTCTCAGAGCAGCAGCTACACCTAGGGAAAGCAATCAAACTAAAGCATCTCGAGAAGCCATGTGTCCACGAGGCACTGTGTCCTGTCTTAGTGGAGACACGTGTATCGATGAGAAGCAGTGGTGCGATGGCAACGTCGACTGTGTTGATGTCAGTGATGAAGCAAGCTGCGCTTGTAAGGACAGAGTCGACAAGTCTCGTCTCTGCGACGGATACTTTGATTGCCCTTTTGGCGAAGACGAAATGGGCTGCTATGGTAATTATAACTAATTTTTATTGCGAATGTTTGTGAATTTTTTGTTGTATTTGAGCAATTGCGAAGTTTCTAATTACACGAAAACTTTATGAAGAAGTGAAGCCATTGTTAAATTATAATGTGATTCTCAAAAAAACTACATAATGTATTATTTCAGAATAATTAACAATTATGTCCTAGAACGCATTTACAAACTCCCACAATTCCTCTTATTCCCTCAAACACAAAGTGTTTTCCAAGAATGTTTTAATTATTGCAGGTTGCAGCGAAACTATGTTCAGTTGCGAAGATTTAGACATCAGTGCTCAAAGCACTTGCTTCTCTAAAGAGCAGAGATGCAATAACGTTGTAGACTGTCCCAACCACAAAGATGAACTGGAATGCAACATGCTAGCTCCGAGCTTACTCAAAAAACCAGTAAGAGAATCTTTTTAATTCCTTTGATACAGAAACTATATTTAAAATTGTGTTTTTTATGCATAATTATTTCAATTAATTTTCTACCTCTTTCATTCTTATGTATGAAAATTTTGGTCTACAAGGATTATTGTAGGATTTTTTAAAGACAATGAACATCTAACTTATTGCGAATCATCTTCAATACTGTGTAAAATCGAAACTTTTTCATTTGCACGTACCTCATACATCAAAGTGAAGGTGACGGATGACGGACACACCATTTCCATTTCTGTGTTTTTGGACACAATATTTCATCACTCTGATCGACTACTGTCGATCGGTGGCGACTGAAAGTAATCTCAGTACTTATTAATCTAAACTAACATTTTTGATTGCGATTTTTGTTACTATTTTGAGTGCAATGAAGATATGGAGAAGTGCGCTCACTGCGGTGACGTGACAATACGGTGACTGATATTCGCACCGTGACTGTCAGCCTACCTGTATATATTACTATGGGAGTCTGCTCACTATTGACTTTTTTCTGCTTATTCCATTTTTAAATCCACGGTGTCACTTAATAACAGTTTCAGTGTTCATTGTGAGTGACTGTTACAGAATCATGATCCCAAAAAGTCGCAATCCGTATCGAACCTAACAAGGTCGAATCCAAAAATTTTATGTGTTTTGCACATTATACTCTCGGAGTAGTTAGACTATTACTTGGAATTATAAATAATAATATTTTTTAAGTAACAGAAGGTAAAAAATTGCTGATATATAAGATTGAGATTTCATTGATATTCTCAATTTGTTTTATAAAACAATGACCTTTATCACCAGCCGTAAAGTTGCAGACATATTATGGAGATCCGAGGGGTGTTCTAAACTTTGACTATATTATTACTTTTCAGTTGTTTGCCATTTCAAATACGGAAGGTTTCCTGCATAGAAACTTCAAAGGCGAATGGTATGCTGTGTGCAAGAACCCCTACATGTGGGCTCATGATGCTTGCCGTCGAGAGACCGGTGTCATTATAAGGTATAACTTATTGTTTTTTTTTGGCAAACTGTTTCAAATTTTATATAAAAGTATTTGAAGTTACCTGGAAATATGAATTTCAGGCCTCCTTTCATCAGCACCGTCCCAATTGATCCAATGGTTAAGGTTAACTACTTGAACACTGGTCCTGGAGGTCTAATTCAAACAAGCGACACATGCATGAATTCGTCAGCTGTTTATGTCACCTGTCCTGACTTAATATGTGGGACGCGAGTGCAGTCTACGTCACAACTGCTTAAACAGGTAACGTACTCCAGGGCAATTGAATCTTCGAAGAAAATAGATTGCGCTCACGACCTATCTCCAGAATTAAATTTGCCGACTAAAATAGATTCTGTCTTTTACAAATGTCTCGAATATCTTTTACGAATTTTTGGAAGTTCGTAGAATACAAAATACTTTTTTGTTATTTAAGTAGTGAAACAAAGTATTTAACTTTTATCTCGAAATTAATCGACAAATGAGACTCATTCGTATCATTTAGGTACTCCGAGCTAATAGAATCTTGTGTCGTACAAAAAAACAGGATAAATATAAACTAACACTTTTGTTCTACTTTCAGAGTAATGTTATGGAAAATCGTTTGTTTGGACGAAACAAAAGATATTTCCCAACAAGTCATGCCTATCCTCCGATGTTTTACGGAAACCGCTATAAAAGGGATGTGAAAGAAGACAGAACTATGACCAATTACGGAATGAAAATCAATAGATCCTTTGATACAATGAGGAACAAAAGAACTGAGAGCAGGGTGGTGGGAGGAAGACCTAGCCAGCCGGCAGCTTGGCCTTGGATGGTTGCTGTGTACAGAAACGGCATGTTCCATTGCGGTGGTGTTGTCATTAATCATAGCTGGGTGATATCTGCTGCTCATTGTGTCAGCAAGTAAGCGTCATAAACACTCTTTATTTAGAACATTTTAATTAATAAATTTAGGCCTTAATGTACAGACGATTTAAAAAAGTTTGTACATAAAGCGGACTTTATATACATTAAGTGATACTGTCACTACTAAAGCGAATTATTTCAACCCACAGGTTCTGGAAATATTATTACGAAGTACAAGTTGGAATGCTGCGTCGTTTTTCATTTTCACCACAGGAACAAAGTCACAGAGTGACTCACGTCATAGTCAATCAATTTTATAGCCAGACTGACATGAAAAACGATATGTCTCTATTGAGAGTTGAGCCCGCCATTCAGTTTAGCCGATGGGTGCGACCGATTTGTTTACCAGGCCCCGATACAGCTGGTCCTGATTGGCTTTGGGGACCCGCTCCTGGCACGATCTGTACCGCTGTTGGTTGGGGAGCTACAACGGAACATGGCCCCGATCGTGAGTAATTTACTTAAGAAAACTTTTGGCAAATAATTTAATTTCACACTGGCTGACATGAATGAAAAAAAGTCTTTTGCTACATAATGAGTGTTTGTTTTATGAAAATGTTTTTCTATTTTAGCCGACCACATGCGTGAAGTAGAGGTACCTATTTGGGAAAACTGTAAACATCGAGAAGACCAGACTGGAAAAGAAATATGCGCTGGATTCGTTGAAGGTGGAAAAGATGCATGCCAGGTTAACATTTTTTACATAATAATTCTTATTTTCTAAGGATAGTGTACGGTTAATTGTACAACTGTAAATCATGTTATTACCTCTTAAAATAACTGCAACGCCTATTGTACCTAATGTACTGGCAAACTTGCAAAAACTTAAGAAATTATTATTAATACGTGTTTTTATTGGTAGAATAAATATTCATATGTCTATAAACTAAATTACTTACTATGCATTGAATTGTTCTAGGGTGATAGTGGCGGCCCGCTTTTATGTAGAAATCCTTTGAATTCTCAACAATGGTACATGGCAGGCATCGTGAGTCACGGAGACGGGTGCGGTCGTAAAGATGAGCCCGGTGTTTATACTCGCGTCAGCCTCTTTGTAAAATGGATTAAATACTATATATGTAAGTAAGATTAAATCTTTATAAATATAAGCAGTCTCCATTGTACTTGTTGTTTATACTCACTACTAATAATTTATTGCAGCGTCCAATACATTACCTACTATTCAACCGATACAAGAATGTCCTGGATTCAAATGTGACACTGGGATTTCCAAATGTCTTCCAATGAAAAGAAGATGTGACAAAATAGTCGATTGCTTAAATGGAGAAGATGAGACAAGGTGTGATTTCACAAAAGCTTCATTTACTGACAACATACTTATGGAAACAAAAAACACACTAGAAGAACTGTTGGAAAGAAAAGAAGCCGAAACAGAAGCTACTATTAAGAGTATTGATCGGAAACAGGAAGATACAGTGTCAACTGTGATGCCATTGGACAAAGAAACTAAAAAACCTCAACTTGACAACGAGCAACACCTATCTTCAACAGAAAATAATGAAGGAATATCTACTGATTGGAGTCAACCAAATATAATGCCAACTAGGATACCATTTGAGGAACAAACTCCAAAACCACAACTTGAAAACGAACAGAAACCTCTATCTTCAATAGAAAATATTGAAGGAATGTCTACTGATTGGAGTCAACAAAATATAATGCCAACTAAGATACCATTTGAGGAACAAACTCCAAAACCACAACTTGAAAACGAACAGCAACTCCTATCTTCAACAGAAAATAATGAAGGAATGTCTATTGATTGGAGTCAACAAAATATAATGCCAACTAAGATACCATTTGAGGAACAAACTCCAAAACCACAACTTGAAAACGAACAAAACCTCTCTTCAATAGAAAAGATGCACTTAAATAATCAAGAATGGGAAAGTAAAAAGATAATAAAAGAAAAGAAAGAAGACATCATCAGCAAAGAAAACACAGATGAGCAACCAAAGATTGTAGAAGTAACAACAGACTTTTCACAGACTACGCTCGAAAATAATGATGGAAGATCAGAGGGTGTCGTTTCTTCAAACGATATGGCCACTAATCCCGTAGTAGAAATGACAACTGTCAGTCGTGGTGATACAGAATTTATAACAATTGGTTTCGATCCAGCCTCTCTCGAATCAGGGTCATCAATATTAGATTCGACAATAAAATCTATGACATCAAGTGATGATTCGGATGTTGAAGAAAACGCAATAAATAATGTTTTTGATCAAAATACTGTGAGTTACATAGAAACATCTACTTCTGGTTTAGCATTGAAAGAAGTTGAAGATCAAGAAAAGGAATCATCGTCGTTATCAAGCAAAGAAAATGTTGCAAATGGTCACAATGACAACGATTCAGGCTTAATTGTAAAACTTCTGCCAGAATCGGAAACCATATCTCCTGACCTAGAAGCCGACTCAAAACTCATTCATGAAGAACTTCAGACAATTACCGCTAATATTAATCAGGAAAATAAAGGTTCCAAATCTCTTCCGGACACCGAAGATTTAAATCATCTTGAAAATATAGTGACATCTGAGCTAGAACCACCCAAATCAAGGAGAAAGCATCGCAACCCTCCCACATTTGAATGCAGAAGGTAAAGATATATGAAATTATTTGACTTTTGTACTACTTAAACAAAGTCAGGTATTAATTAAATGATTTATTTTCAGAATTAAGCAAACCATACCTTATCACCAGCGATGTGACAGAAAAGCGGATTGCGAGGATGGCACTGATGAACTCGACTGCACTTGTACTGACTATTTGATAACTTTTGACAACAAGCTTATATGCGATGGAATATCGGATTGTGCTGATGGGCAAGATGAACAGGACTGTTGTAAGTATAATAAATATTATTTAGTCTTAGACTTAGCCAAACTGCAATGTGCCAGCCAAGCACGTTTGTTTGGCTGTTGCACTTAGAATCAATCAACTAAAAATTCACTAATACATTAAACTAAATCAAACTAATCAACCGAATAAATTTTCAGTCAGTTGCCCAGAAGATCATTTCTTGTGTAGTAAAAGCCAGGTTTGCTTACCCGAAAAACATGTCTGTGACGGAAAACGAGAATGTCCTCTAGGCGAAGATGAAATGAATTGCTGTAAGTATATTTTATTTATGGTTACAACTACTATCGATTAGGAATATCATGCTTACCCTGTTTTTCTTACCGATTTCAGACGCTTTATCCAACGGTCAAGACATGGAATTTGATTTAGATGAAAGACCGCTGGTAAACCTAGAAGGTTACTTAACAAAAAAACACTTCAACAATGAGTGGCATGTACTTTGTTACGACGAATTATCAACTGAGAAGCAAGAACAGGCTGCTACGCATATTTGTCGCTACCTAGGATTTAGGTAATGTAAACTAACTTAATTCTGACATAAATAAGAGGATAATTTACGTTAATTTGACTTAAACAAAAAAAATATAAAATGGTTCGTCACATTTAAACATAAATCTAATACTAATTAATAAATAATAAATTGCAACCAATGTGCATTTCATTATAAATTAATAAATTTACAGTGGCGCAAATAGATATCCTGTGAAATACATCAACATCAACGAGAATGATATCATGAGGATCGGAACACACAACAATAGGCACCGAAGAGATACAATTAGGCGTGCTCCTGTCCACTTCGCCTACAGACAGGAAGGTTCAGACAATGATACAAGTCGACATACTATCATTAAAAGTCCACAGGTACTAAAAGAAGAATGTGTACCAAACGTAACAAAAACTTGTAAAGCTTTGTATGTTGCTTGTGACAATTCTCTCTTCACCAACTTTGAAGATGAAGACGATTCAGACAATAGCGTGTTCAAACGAGATTCATCGGTCAGTAACCGAGAATGGCCTTGGGTTGCGAAGGTCTTTGTTGAAGGCGACTACAGATGCACTGGAGTTTTAGTTAATTTATCCTGGGTCTTAGTAAGCGATTCGTGTCTTTGGGATACCACGTAAGTTTTAAAAAAAATACTAATACCATTACCATTAGTTTTGAAAAAGGTCTGAGCAAAATTTTAATTTAAACCCTTGTTTCAGCCTTTCTCATCATTTTATAACAGTTGTGCTAGGATCTCATAGAACTTTAGAAGGTCTGACCAGCATGCATGAACAAGTTTATCAAGTTGATTATAAGAAGGACATTTATCGCAGCAAAGCAACATTGTTGCATCTAAAAGAACCAGCACATTACTCAAATGTCGTAAAGCCCATGATTGTTGCTTCTCCGTAAGTATTTTTAACCTCTTCTATCATGCATGATATGCCATAACCATTTATAAATATATTTGGCAATTTATTTTAATTAAATACGTACCATTTATTTTTAACCAACCATTTTAGCTATACTCCGGAAGAGAAATCGACTTGCGTAGCCGTTGGTCAAGACTATAAAAACAATACAATAAGTGTATTTTTGGAAGAAACTAATGAAAACTGTCACCCTAGCAATCGTTGTTTCAAACGAAAATCAACGGAAAGTATTTGCCCGGTGAGTTGAAATTTATGAACAATGTTTATTTTTGTATAAAAAAAAAAAAATAAAAAAAAATAAAATTTATTGAAGAACACATAATATATGTATACTTCGTATCAAAACTATTTGTCATGGAACTCAAATGACTGGCTTTACTTTTTTAGAAAGACGGATATAATTATATGATCAATTATAAACAAATTTAAGTGTTGTCATTTAAATCAATAGAAATTTGCTTGCCCTATCTGGGAGCTTTAACTTAGAAGCAGGAATTTCTCCTAAAAATGAAAATAAAAACTTTACCTATTTACTTTTATTTCAGGCTGAGGTCCAATCAAACCAACATTGGGCTGGTATCATAAGTTGTCATACTGACCATGGATGGTATCCTGCTGCTACATTCGTTGATGGCAGAGGAGAATGTGGATTAAAAGACCATATTAACGCTACAGATCTAGACCACCTTAAACACGAAATACATAGACACTACGGTAAGACAACACTAGCTAAGCGATCACTAGCAAAATAAGTATATACTACTAGCGGCCCACCCCCGCTTCGCACGGGTCCAACTATCTCGCTAAAAATGAAAGGCTCCCTTTTCCCCAATTTTCCCCTCAACTTTTTTAATATTTTCTTTCATAAGAACCTTCTCCTGACAATAATAAATACAAAACAAAAGGATTTGGCAAAATTGGTCCAGCCGTTTGTGAGTTATGCGCTTACTAACACATTTTGCGAATCATTTTTATATTATAGAAGATTTTTATTAAAATGTTAATAGAATTTACAACCGATACATCATTGCAACCTGTTTCCATCTAATGTGAACATAGGTCAAATGCTGTAATAAATTAGTGTAAAACTTAACTCTAAACTTTGAAAATCACTAAGATGACGTAATAAGAGGACTTACAACAAAATTAAAGCAGCGTAAATCACATTACAACATTAATATAGATTGGGTATTCATCAAATATGGTTTTATCAATTGAAAATGCTCAGGAAATTATCTTCGAATATTACCTGAGTGATACATTTTCAAGGAAATGACAAGATTTTTCAATTTTGTTTATCATCCGTAGGTAAGAAGACACTGCCGTCTCAAATCGATAAGGAATTTGGTGAACACTGCGAAGGAATGCGATGTGGAAGAGGTCGGTGTGTTGGATTGCTTCAAGTTTGTAACGGTGTTAGAGATTGCGAAGATGGTAATGACGAATCTGAACAAGCCTGTGAGAAGAAACACACAATGTGCGATAAAGATCCGTACTATAAAGGATGCGGTAAGTTTAGAAATACTGCAGAAATATTTCAACTCCTTTAAATCTGTTTCTTTTAGAATAAAGTTGCACTTCATGTTCTAGAGATAAATTCTTAGTTAAAAAAAAATTAACAATAGAGCTCAAATACTCCAACCTGATTTTATAAAATACTAACTACGTACTGACGATACGTTATCGAAATATTTTGTTATTATATTTCAAGTCCATACATCAACCATACTGATGCGATGACATAATCTCATCTTTCGTTAAAAATAGGTGTATCGAATTTCTTTTCACTTGGCATCGAGTTTTCAATTATGATTTATTGTAAGTAGGTTTCATCCTCGTGATCTGTTCCTAAGGGTCAAGACTTACATTCGATTATGTCTTTTATACATACAAATAACGTGTTTTTTTATTTGATTTACCTTTCTAGTCGAGTCTTTACTTATTTTTTATTGATTTTTTACTGATTTCTAAACTCGATTCCCTCGATCTTTTATAAAAGGCAATGTCTTTTAATTTAATCAATACTAAGGTACCCAATAACTTTATGCTTTACAGTGTTTATACCAACTGTCTTTGCTACTACAATTTACGCTTATTTATATGATCGAGATCCATAAAAATTATAGTCCCAGTACATTCTTTTAACTCAGACTATTTCATCTTGAGGGCCCTTGATGGCAATTTAATAAAAGAGAAACCTTTTTATGTTTGAGTTGTAGATTATGTCATAAATGACTGTAGGCTGGCTTAAGTTAGGTAATTCATAATATCAGTGTGGTATAAGTTATTATCTTGATATTTAATAACGTGATAGGTAGACGCTATTTTTGTGAGGTATATTAGATTGTAGGTATTATTTAAATAAACGTATCTGCAAGGTAAAACAACCCTTATTATATACATTTTATTTGGGTAATAAGCTGCAGTTTTCCACCAAATTTTATACACAAGAACCATCAATTAATTATGCTTTCGAAATAATGTACGATTGTGGGAAGAAATTAAGGCTGATAATTTTGATTTTCTTGCAGAATGTTCAGTCGGTCAAATGAAATGCCACAACGGCAAATGCATATCGAAGGAACTATTCCAAGATGGCCGCGACGATTGTGGTGACGGTACCGATGAGCCTGGTCACTCTGTCTGTTCAGTCTACTTGGCTAGAGTTATGCCTTCGAAGCTGTGTGATGGAATTCTCAACTGCCATGATAGGAGCGATGAAGATCCTATGTTCTGCAAGTGTTTCGCGAAGAAGAGTTATAAGTGAGTGTTTTTCTTCTTTTAAACCGAATACGTGTCAGGAAGCGTGGTTCGAAATCGGTAATTTCATTCATGATGCACACAAAACTATATTATGAAATAAAGAGTGATACCCTAAACTATGAAACTATTTCGTAAGTTACCAAGATAAAGGGGCCTAAAACTGTTTGAGCTTTTCATAAATAAACAGAAGAATAAGAAAGATTCGCCCATTTTCAAAATCTCTTTAAACTCTTTACTAAAACATTACCAATTAAACAATTAATTCTGTGAAAAAAACGTTAATTTCATTGATAATTTATTAGAAAGACCCTTAATCATTAACATCAACATTCATTCTCTACTTTGTTTAATTCAAAATTATTTATCCACAGGTGCGGTTCTAAGTTAGGCGTCGATCACTGCGTGGCTCCAGATATGGTGTGTGACGGTGTTCGGGATTGTCCTAATGGAGAAGATGAACAGGTCTGCATAGGACTCAACGCTCCACAAGGAACACCGTAAGTTCTTTCTTTTGATTTTAATTTTTTTATTGGCTTTTCAATAATTGTGAACACTTAGACAATAACTAAATCTAGTCTCACAATTTGAAGAAAACAGTTTTTTTTAAATATATAAAATGTTGGACACTAATTTTCCCCTGTACCATGGGTGTGTTAACAAACATACAAATTTACATACACAAGTAGCCAGACCTTAAATACCAATTTGAATCATATAAAATGTTGTTTTGTGCGGGATGTTGCATAGCAGCCAGGTATCTACACAGCCACTACACCAACCGCGCAGTCAATATGAGAATACATAAATACTGAGAAAATGTGATGACATTTTTTCCGAATCGAGCTCATATTTACGAAAAGTGCCTTGATTTTTTATTGGTGATGGAATCGCTGTCTTCTAAACTGTAGTCAATAATTTTGGTAATAGGATCGCTTTTTATTACAATAAGACCTATTATATAAATGATACAGTTGGCTTACATTGAGACATCAATACCTACATAGCATAAAACAAAGTCGCTTTCCCTAGATCCCTATGTATGCTTAAATCTTTAAAACACCACAACGGATTTTGTTGCGTTTTTTAATAGATTGATGAGAAAACTTTTGTATGTATAATAATTTCCTTTTGCAAATAATAATAATTGTAATATTATTATCTATCTTATTTTCAGATACGGAACCGGTCAAGTGACGGTCCGGCGTCATGGCGTGTGGCATTCCAAGTGCTATACCTCACCGAACCACACTAAAACCGAATTGGAAGCAATCTGTTCAGAATTAGGTTTCAAGAGCGGACATGCGAAGCAAATCAAAGAAATCGAAAATTTCGTAGTTCATCCGTATAATAACTTAGTGGTCGACCCCTTCAACGAAATTACGCTCAATAATAATACAGTAATAAAAATGAGAAATTCACACGAGCCAATAGCTAAGGCGGTGTTCGATGAGAATCTAAAGGAATGTTACCCAGTTTTTATAGAATGTCGTTAGGCTACCCTATGTTATTTATTTTATTTATTTATGTTTAGATTTTAGATTGATTTCAGTTTGCTTGATGTTTTCTGTAAACGAATAAATGTATTTTCATGTTCTGTGAATCGTTTTTTGTTTCCACTTTTGTTCTCCAACCAATGTTTAGTAACTACGTAGTTTAATTTAAAAAATCTAATTAAGTACCTACACATACAGGCTAATAGCTCAAATTTGTTCTACGGGTATATAAGTCTAATAAAAAAGTATCTTCTTCACACAAGTAATAATATTCGCATTTAAAACCAAAATTTTTATTTTTAATATTTCCCAAATAGCCCAATTACACTTTCAGTTTGTCTGACCATATTTCGTATACAAATACAGGAGTGATACCACGGCCTCACAGAAAATCGGCGTGAAACAACCACAGCGTGGTCTTTCACTGTGTGAGGTTACCGGAGGCCTAATCCCTCCCCACTGTGCTTTCAGTAATAAAAGTAGCGCGCCCTAGTGAATAAAATGAAAGACAAAAATGTTAATTTACCACGATCTGCCAGTAGATGGCGTGCGAAAAAGCACTCGCATGGCATGGCAAACTTGTTTTAAGTTATCTCCACGCTACGAAAGAAACTTAAATTTAACTTAGTTGTATTAGGGTATCATAGATGGCGCTATTATATAATTTTTATATATATTTAATTATTAACCAAAAAAAATCATGTAATACTGGAAAAGAAATAGATGTGATAGATATCAACTATTTTACTAGTTAAGTTTCAAATGCACATACGATAATATTTATGAAAAATAAGAATTGTGAACATTAAAATAAACGTATTAATAGTATTATGTACCTATTAATTTAACTGAAAGTAGCCGGGTTACTTTTGTATAATTTAAATTAACAAAATACAGTTATAAATCCTTAAGCTTCTAATAAATTAGTGATGCGAGCTTGCGCTCACGCATAATCTGACACCAAAATTTATCAGGGCATGAACCCAAATCAATACACATGTCATAGATTAATTACGTAATAAAAACTATTAGAGGGTCAAAATAAACATTTCAAATTTAATTCCTGTCAAAACAATTATTAATTTTCTTTCTACGCGGTTTTAAAATATATCAATTTATATTTACCCATATAAAAATATTGTAAAATAATAAAAAGACACGTGTTTATTATTAAAAAAACCATTTTTTCGCCTTTTTACTCAACTAACATAATAAATCTCAAACCTTTTTTTTTTATTTACTAGCTTTTGCCCGCTACTTTGTTCGCGTAGAATAGTATAGACTTCCTGCAGTTTTTCGTTTTAAAAACTATCCTATGTCCTTTCTTAAGTTTCCAAACTATTTATGTACCAAATTTCACGCAAATAGGTTCAGTAGTTTAAGCATGAAGAAGTGAAAGACAGACAAACAGAGTTACTTTCGCGTTTATAATATTCGCATATATAATATTAGTCTGAATTTAGCGTGCACGTGCACGTGAATTACTTAATCGTCTATATTAATATTTAATGGCTAACATGTGTTTCGAGAAAATAAAATTAAATAATCTAAAAAATATACTTCATTTACGGTACAAAAACGTTTAGATACTCTATGTATATAGAGTAACATCTTAAAAAGAGTTATTAATAAAAATAACATTAGTTATAAAGATCGAAAATAGTAATAAGAATTTACAGAACATAATTTCTACGTTTAAACTTTTCATGATCTTGATAAACGTTTAATCAGTACTTGTAAATAAAGTAACACAACATTATCGTTAATCATATTTAAATAAAATATACTATAATTTAAATTAAAGATTACATATTTTTTTAAATAAAACAATTTGGCACAATCTATTTTTTATATAATCACATCGGAAACTAAGGTTTTCTTCCGCCGTTTAACACTTAAAACAGTTGATAAGATACGTTGGCATTGAAAAGTCCAACCAAAAGTTTTCGACAAAAAATCTATTAAACAGACACATTCTGACAAAATAAACTAATCAACGTTAGGTAATTCTAAAGATATACTTTTTAAAATTAATAGCCATTAGATATCTACGGTGGCAAATAAAAGAATAGATCAATTTATTAAACAAACTCCAGGGTCAAGTATGTCACCTTAAAAATATTAATTTACTTCAAGACGGCCATTAAATTATTGTGAATCATTTACTTAGGACTTAACATTTAAAAAAAGAAACATATTGAAGAAAAAAGTCTAAAAAATTACCATAACCCGTGTTCGATTAATTCAAATTATTGCAATTTGCTTAATATAAAAATAAGAAAAAGAAATTCCTGGCATGCCGGATAAAATTAAATTGGTATAATTTTGCTTTTTAGTGATATCTTGAAATGATTAGAATATTTTGTATCTAGAACGATCGTTTGTAAAATTCGAATTTTAAATACTGGACACTGATAATAATGCTAATAACTAGATCAAAACAAAAAAGTGTCCTCTATTATGACGTCAAGAGTTTAATACACGAAAATTATGCAAGCATGTACCTAAATAGATAGCAATAAACCTAAAACTAACATAAAAAAAATCGATAAAATATTGAATTTCAACAGGGAATCGTTTCATCCAAATTAACCACACCACACTGCTGGTCTGTATATCTGCTCTTTGCGTCTATTTTCATTAATGTTCCAACCATGTTTATGGTCCATGAATATTATATTAATTTGGACGGACCACTTGGTCACGTAGTGTTACAAGTATAAATGAAACCATAAATAACATGTTAAGTATATAATAAAACTGTAGATACAACGACTCGACGCCATAGAGTCTGCTCGCGATGATGACACCACTATTTCAATTTGAGCCATTTAACTCCGCATACATTAATGATAAGACATTATGCAAATTTAAATTACTTTTAAGAAAAATTTTGAACAGCATCAAATATTGAACATAATATTATACGAAGACCGTAAATATGATAAATGTGTAAGAGATTCACAATAAAACGTAAGCTTACAAGTATTGCAGGATCATTGAATAAGCAGATATAAATTTAACAATGTCCATTGTATTATAATTTTGGTTGTAAATCAGAATTTTTAATGCGTTTCTTTAATTTGCGCCGACCGATTTATTTTTGCACTAGCGTTCCGTGGACAGCTTTGACAGCCTTCGTATTTACTGCCTTGACACATGCAAACCTTATTTCCCTTTTTTTCTTTATTCTACTTTGATATGTGAATTATTTTTCGCAGGTGTCCGTAGCATCTAAATTTGTGTGCAGAACAATATCTTAATTGACCTTTTCGTGTGGGTTTTTATTATTACAGATTTTATCAATTCCTGACACATTTAAGACCGATTTTACATCCTTTATCAGTGTTATAAACATCGCGGAATAATCACGAGTTCGATCAGAAGTTACAATCGGTTCTCTGTCGGTATTACTGTATGTTCACTGGGCATAAATGAATCAGCAGGAACAGTATAAAATTGATCATTTGTTGTGGTGTCATTTACTTTGGCGAATTTATTTGGGTATCGATCAGCCGTACTCATTACTCGTTTAAAAGAGTCACTCACTAAGTTGCCTTGACTCGAGAGGTTGGTTCTTGGATATGCAATTTATTGGGCGATGTATCACGAGCGCTCTCTTCCGAGACGAAAGTTGAAAGTTCACGCGGAAAATATTTGAAAGCCTTCGGTTTCTGTATATTGAACAGTATTTATTGAATAAATAACGTGAAATAAGGGACTTTAGAGTGTATGGAAGTTTAGAAGCAGGCATTAAGTATTTTGAAACAATTTTTGTGGAAAATTTTCCCTTCAGCCCTCAACTCTGTACAAAAGTGATAAACGAAAGCGTTGACTTTTTGCGTTCCAAGGCTGTTTCGGGTCCCAAGGTTTGTAGAAGTGGAACCAGTGGGTTTTTATTTCACGCACGTAGGTAACTGTTTTACTGATGGTTATCGCCAAAAATAACCTTTAATTACCATGTAGTTTGAGCTACCCTGACCTTTCACACAGACACTTGCAGTCACTACCTCCTTATGTAGTTGTAAGTACGAGTTAGACTCGGCAAGCCCTTTGTCCGTACTTAGAACAAAAAGGTCATTATGAGGAAAAATTATACTGTTGTTTTTTTCTCCAAATTTATATTTTATATCAAATATAAGAACATTTAACATATTCTAATTTATGTCATTTTAAAAACAATCAACATTATCAATTAAACTACTTATTCAACAAATGTTATTTAGAAAAAGATTCTGACATTTTCATGCTAAAAATAAGCCGAACATTACCAATAAATCTGTCATATAGTGTCAAATCTATAAGAAGCATAAGACTACATGCGGTCAGATCATGAATTATGCAACACATCGATTACAAAACGGAACACCGTATCAATTCAGTGGCGGCCGCCTTTGAACTGCCTGCCACTTACTGGATGATATGCATTCCTTAATATATCTCATTGTCATATCATACATTTACACCTTTCACTTTTAACATATTTTATCTTAACGTTTTTGCACCCTCTTGATTAATTAGCTACACTGTGTTTATAACACTATCCTTAAAAATTTGAGCAAATGTTTAAAGTCGTCGCAAACTTTTAACACCTTCAACGCCTGATCCAAGTATATTGACTAATAAAATCAGAAGCACTGGCAACGCCCACATTATTTATTGACATTACCACTATCACGACGTTGATTGATTTATTATAAATTTATTTTGGCTGTATATGGACTTTAATGGTAATGTATAACATTATAACAAGGTGTGTGGAAAATTAGGCGCAAAACAATGATGCACAAAATATCCCGAACACGGAAGACCCGACAAAACATTACCTTGTACGAGTAATAAATCTGTCTCTCGGCACATATCAGAGGATCTTCATCGATAAAGAGCCAATAAAACGCATCTAATTAATGATTGTTCAAACATAAAAAAGCCGCTCCAACACTTCCGACATCAGTATTTATTTACTTTTGAATCATTAAAAAAAATTGCGTCAAAACTTTGGACTCGACTTTTTGTATCAAAATAAAAACGCA